ATAACGCAATCAAATTATTTTTCAGAATTGGAACTCAAGAAAAAGTAAAATTTATTGTTAAAACGTCTTAAAATGTGACCAGTGATATTCTGCAACTATTCGCATAATTATGCAGTTTAAGAAAGCACATATTAACACACACAAAGCTTTCAAGGATTTTAAATGTAACGAGTGTATTTACGCAACTCAAGATATTCAGTGCAAACGATGCAATGCCGTGACCAGTAGTAGCACTCATTGCAAAGGCAAAATATATATTAACCAAATATGTGGATGTTTTAAATGTGACCAGTGCATTATTAAAAGTGGGTAGTTACAAAATTATGTTACCAACCAAACATATGTTTGTGTTACCAACTCATGATTAAAAAAAAGCTAATTTACAAAACTTAATTAATTTTAACCTTTTTTTACGCAATTCGTTACAAGAAATATTGTACCTAACTCTTTCGGAAAGAATTTTCCCGCATTCGCACTAAATGCAGCACTCCCTACGGTCGTGCTGCAAACAAAGTGCTCATGCGGGAAAATTAACTTACCGAACTTGTTAGGTAAATAACTATTTCGTAATCAGGGTAGTTATTTAAAACTTCGTGAAACATTTGTTTATATGTAGTGAAGGATGTTTGTTGTTTGGAGAGGTCGGAGGGAGATATATTTATTTCTGGTAGTTCAATAAGCCAAGGTAGAGTTTTTTCTGTACAAGAGTAATTAGGTGGTAAGTTGGTGTTAAGTTTATTCATAATTTCTTTTGTTCTAATAGGGATAGGGAGAGTTGTGCTTGGTTTTGATTTGTATTTATTTTCGTATAGAGAGTGTTGTAATAAATTATGGTTAATATGATTTGGATTTGCCTTTGGAGATATGAAATATTTAATAAGCTGATAATTTCTTCTAAGATTCGGAGGAAGTTCTCCAGAAATACAGTATATACTCAGAAGAGGGCTTGTTCTGGGCGCCCGTTACCATTCTTAATCCTGCGTTATAAATTGCGTCGATTTCTTTTAATGTCTTGGATCTGCTTGAGGCATATATTATACTAGAGTAATGAATTTTGCTTCGTATTAGAGCTTTAAAGAGTACCATTAGGGTTTCTTCATTTGCACCCCATGATTGATGAGAGACTATTTTCAAAATGTTTAAGGCTTGTTTGCAATCGGCTTTCAGTTTTTTAATGTGGGCAGTCCAGGATAGTCGTCTATCAAGTATCATTCCTAAGTATGTTACTTTTTCTATATATATGAGGCTTTTGTTGTTAAGGTGAAGATTAGGATTTTGAGGTCGATGTTTTTTAGTAAAATTTATGCATTTTGTTTTTTCAGGTGAAAAATTAAATCCTGTTGTTTGTGTCCACATGGTTAGACTGTTTAAGGTTCGTTGTAATTCGTTCTCTATGTGGTTCGTATTCTTGCCGGACATATAGATAATAAGGTCATCTGCATAAAGCAGGGATTTTACGGGATATGTAATATTTGTTGTTATATCATTCATTGCTATTAAGAACAATGTTACACTTAGAACTGAACCTTGAGGGATTCCTGTGTCTTGTGTATATTTATTAGAATGTATGGACCCTACTCTAACTTGGAAGGTTCTGCCATTTAGGAAATTTTTGATAAAATATAACATTTTTCCCTTTATGTTCCAGTCGGTTAATGTCTTAATTATTTTTCCTTTAGAGACGCTTTTTGGATATCGAAAAATATGGCAACTAACTGTTCTTCATTTATAAATGCATTTCTTATGTCTGTTTCTATCTTCACTATATTGTCCAAAGTGCAATGATTCTTTCTGAAACCGCTTTGGTATTTGTTAAATAATTGTTTGTATTCTAAGTGGTATGTTAATCGTTGGCTCACCATTTTCTCAAAGATCTTGCACATTGTACATGTTAGGGCTATTGGGCGGTAGCTTGATGCTGATTCAGGTGCCCGATACGGTTATCTTTCCTAGAAGCATCTGTTATTAAAATTAAAAAAAAATATCTCTATAAATAAGAAATTTGATAGTTGCGCAGTTTGTGCATGCGCACATTTGATGTTCACAATATGCGATATGTTTATATTTACTAGAGACATCTATGGTTAAAATTTCAAAAAAAACATCGGTATAAATAGGAAAGTTGACATTGCGCAGTTTAATCGTCAAGGTTTTCCTTGGCGCAGGTGCCAGAGCTATACCCTACCGAATGCAAAAAGAACGAACTAAATATCTTGAAAACTTTAGGATTTGTTAAGGCCTCGGACAGACGAACGCACTACGCACCGAGAAAGTGGCTGCAATAGCGCACTCAAAATCGTTGGAAAATGCGCTAGAAAAACGATACCGGCAAGTCAGTGGTAGGTAAGAATAAGACAACTAAACTCAACATACTGCAACGGTTGTGACGTTGTTGTATAAAGTGTTGAAACTTCGCTTGCTGCTAATTTCCCCCTTTGCTTCTCTGAAATCTAACTACGAAAATGGTAAGACTCTTTTCCACTCACCAGCAAAAGAAAACACCAAATGGTCATATAAGTTCCAAATATTTGCCACTTGCACTTTCCTTTAGCACAGTCAATTTTTTTACCAAATACGTAAATTTTTTGTTTCAACCATTTAACATAATTTTATTAATTGAAATGGTCAATTTTTTTGAATATAAATATCCTAAATTCTACCTAAACCTAAATTTGAAAAATACATACACAATACACATATAAACAATTTTTTATTCACTTTTTAATAAAAGAAAAAATACCAACAATAAATGAATCCTTGAATTTGGCAGATTGATTATTATTGAAATTATGGTACAAAACTTAAATTCTTGAACCAAACACGAAATCCAAACCAAATTCAATAAGCTCTTAAATTTATACATTGGTATTATTAATATCAAAATTTAAACATCGGTCCTGAAAGATAATTGAAAGTTTTTACGTTAAATGTTCCACAAATTCGTTTTTACGTTAGATCTTATTCAATATTGACTTTGCAGCTTAAACAGAAATAAATAGAACTAATATTGGACCTTGTTCTTAACATGTAAATACAGCTGGATAGTGGAATCTAGACGTTATCAGATATTTCTTTTCAGGAAAATGTGTCTGGAAATCCGCTGATGAATTCTTCTGATAACTCCGCCATATGGAAAATTTTTTCTTGATTGCAATGGGGTCAAGTTTCGGTGGTTAATTTTGCTTGTAAGCGGAATTTTACTCTAAGACTGTACATCCCTACACAGTGGGTACACATAACCTCTATTTTATTAAATTCTTGACAATTGCCATGGAACTGAACCATAATCGAATACAAAATATTGATGTTATAGCTGTTTGATTGTCTCGGACTGAGGTCCCGCGCTCTAAATTTAACAGAGCACTGATCGCCTCCTCAAAATTGTAGCCGTTCTTCTCCCGGACAAAATTATGTAGTAATACGCAGACTTTGGTTACATCAACGGCAACGGTTGCAATGTTAAGAGGTCTATGGAATATCCTCATTTGTTGGTTAGTATTTTGAATGCGCATTCGATATAACGCCGTGCTGCAAAGTAAGTAACTGTTGACTCAACGCAAATGCTTCATCCGCTACATTAGGACTTAGGAGAAGCTGTGCCAAGTAAAAGTCTTGCATCTGGTAATTCAATGGCACTCGTTTCAAGTCCTTTTCACAGAGATGAATTTTTGAAAATTGCAGATTCATTACCTTTTTCATAGCTGCCTTTGCCTACATGTATAAAGCGATAATTTGAATCTGCGACGGCCATGAGGAATATAGAAAAATAATCCTTATAATTGAAATGCATCGATCCACTATCTTTCGGTTTTATGATTCAGATGTGCTTCCCATCTACGGTCCTGAGGCAGTGGGAAAAATTTGCTGTTCTTTCAAAACCTTCTGCTATTAATTCCCAATTTTCCTTGGTTAACTTCGGGATAACAACAAGAAGTAGAAACCAACACTCCAACCTTAAATAATCGTGAAACGCCAAAATAACACTCCTGCAAAATGTAAGAAAGCCAAACCGGATAGTGTCGAACAGCAACAAAACCAGAAGAAACGAAGAGTCCTCAGATGGCCTTTGTGGAAAACCGTTTGCGTCATATGCTACTTAAGCGCGTTTTTGTGCGACGGATCGAACTTTTATTAGCAAACTCATTTTATGCTACAGTTTCATTATGAAGGAAACTTTTTGTGCTGAAATAAAATCTGCATGCAAAGAATTCTGACACAAAGCTAATGCTTTAAACCCGAGCATCTTCGATGATTCCTCCGACAGTTATACCAAAGAGGATAGTCTTTGGTTATAGGTACTTAAAAACCTTTGCAACCGACTGATCGATCTCTGGACCGACCAACAGACCGACCGACTTTTCTGTTGTTTTTTCTGTTCTGTTGTCAAATTGCAGGACTTTTGCTGTCGTAATTTCCAGGCGAACATTGTGCCAATTCATAATTTTGCATATAATGTCAAAAGACTGTCATAGAAGGTCTACAGAGTGAAAAAATTGGAGTGTTGATTTTTTCCAATAAATTCTACGATGTACCGAAAGATTCGTAGGTGCGAGTAGTGAAATTATAAACGTCTTTTGATTTCTATGGAGTATTGTTTTCTTAGTGGGTTCCGGAATTCGTAGGCTCTAGTGCGAGTCGAAGATAAAAGAGGTAATTTTATCAAAGGGGGTTCCTATTGCAAAAATAAATGACATTTCAGAGGATTGCTATTGGCTATTATAGAAAGATGGCTCACTTAATTGCTAGACGTCAAGTTGAAAAAAAACGTTAACTAAATAGTTAGAGAGATGACTCCTGATCTCGGGTAGATTTTGTAGTCATTCAGTGGTAGGCTCCTAGCACGATCGCCGTGCATCTAAGAGTATACTTATTTTGTTTGCAAGATTAGTCAGACCGGAAAGTTTAAAAAATACTTAGTGCCCTCAATGCAAAATTTTTCAGTGCAAAAAACGCACAAGATTTTTTTGAGGGCGAATTTAAGGATTTGTACAAACAGTCTATTCAGAATAGTTTAATTTTATTGAGCTTTTTCACGGATTATATCTACTAAACAATTGTGGAAGTCAACGAAGCGATCGTCGCCCTCTTTGGGTTCCTTGCAAGTCTCGATAGCCTGTTTGACGACCTCTTCACGGTTTTCTATGTCCTTCTTTACTGCGGGAATGATATTCTCGATAATGTGCTGTTTCATTAGGTCATTCCTATACGTTCCATCCTCTTGTATGAAGCCGACTTCGTCACTAAGGCATTTGGACATTTCATTATACTTCTTGTTGCCCCTTGGCAAATGATGGGTTTTGTCAAAATGTTTTTGCAGGAAGTCCTCTTCAACGTTAAATTTGTCGGCACATTTTTTATTAAGAGCTGCGGAGTCCTCTTTGACGGAGAATACCTTTAATCGGATTAGATATTGGATTCGATTTAGCTAGATTTTCACTTACCTGCACAACGCAGAAAATTAAAATGGCACCAATAATGTCCGCTCGCATTGTTAGTGTGATAATTCACGAGTATACCTACATTTGATTTAATAACATTAGCTTATATATGAATTTCAATAATCAAGGGTCAAAGAACACGATTGTAGTATTGTTGCAACAGATCTGTAGGAAAAAAATTCATATTGCAAGATTAAACTAGATATTGTAGAACTGTTATCTTGTTACCGTTACCGACAAACGCTACTAAATGTATATTGAGTGGTGTAATGCTTTACAGTGGCTGCTTTCAGATAACCTTTGGTTCCTATAAGCCTCACGAGTACAATAATACCACTAAAATGGAAGAGGTAGCTAGATCCTTCTAATAAAACATGACCATGTAACTCTGAATAGTAGAGCTTTGACTCAAGAGGGACGGAAGCTACAATGTCTCAAATATTTTACCCGTTAACATGGGGGTTCCGCAGGGATCAATACTTGGGCCTCTTCTTTCTTGCTTATACCTATGTTTTTGACATGGACACGTCTTTAAACGGTTCTTACGTCCACAGTTACCCAGACTATATCCCGTATACCGTAATAATCTAAACAGCACATGCAAAGCTTAAAGGTAGGTATATACCGTTTTAAATATGTTTTTCCACCAAACGTCAAATGGCAGCTTGTAGACTCTTTAATAATATCAACTTTAGATTATGGGGACACATCTATGGCCTGTGACTAATTAGTGCTACTTAATAACACTTGCCTGCAAAAAATCCAAAATTCCTGTGTAAGATATGCGTTTAACATTAAGAAATATAAACATATTTCCCATATTTATCATCCATACAGAATTTTGAATATGGGCGAACAACGCCATTTGCATTTACATCTCCGTAAGCCACTCTTTCTTGATATACCCCCATACCTCGCTTGCGTTGATGAAGTTCCTAAGTTAAATACTGTATCAACTATCAAGGCAGTCAAGTGTACTTATTTTTGACCTTAAAAGAGATTGTGCGGCGATAAAGTACATGGACAAAAACAGAAAAAAGTTTGTCAAAAATACAGACAATGTACCTATGTTTGGGAGAAAATGTCCAAAAAAGAATATCAGGTAATGATTTGACATTCTATTCTGCAGAAAGTGACAAATTTGGAAAAGTAGATAATTATTACTATTAATAGGCATTATAGCTCAGTGGTATAGAGCGTTGGGGTATAAATCCGGAGGTCGGGTGTTCGAACCTGGTTTGAGCTGAATTTTTCATCTGTGGCAGAGATGGGAAATTTCCTTAGATCAGTTTCGAGCATTCTGCCGGCTACTCCGAATTAGGTTTTTCTGCAGTTTTCCTAATTCGTAAGGTAAATACCGGAGTAGTATAGAACAACTTAAGATCTTCTGCAGGGGCACCTCTAAAAAGCATTATGCGGGTTACTCTGTAATTGGGCGTAAGCCTGTTCAGGCCTAGAACAAGAGGGACAATAAATAAATAAATAAATATCGATTTGTCGTCCTGGATCATGAAAGATCAATTAATTGAAAATTGTAACCTACAAGAAGCCTGGATTCTATGCAAGCTACGGGTTTTCGGATATTGGCTTCAGTTGAGCCCACAGTCTAAAAGTTCATCCGTTTATTATGTTGTGTTGGTAGCGGATGGGAGTAGGGAGTTGGTCGCTGCCTTCAGACCTAAGCCACACGTTGCAAAATATTTACATTGTCTCCCAATAGAACAGAGCAGCCTTACGATCGGTTTACGAAGAGAAGGACCACATCAACGAGAGAAAGTACTTCCGGTGGGAGCGGAAAGAAGAAGCCTACACATGGAAGGCCGCCGTCGACCAATCGCCGAGCGACGTCCCGTTTTCCACCGTATCGCGGATGTCAATATACGAAAAGTTTCACTTGGGATCACATCTTCAAGTGCGATTGTCGCGGAACAATTTCCAAACTACACTATAAAACAGATTATTTGTATGCGGTTAGTACAAGTTAATGACGATTGCTTTCAGTAATAGATATTAATCTTAACATATGCTATAAAATAAAACAATTTTCTTGTTCTAATGGCAAAGGTCAACCCTCTTTTTAGCGCATTTTCCAAAAGGAACATGAACGCTATTGTCCGCAATTTGACCATCTATACCACTACTAGCCCTCCAGTTTTAGCTTTTTCGTTGTGGTTTCTTTCTTATACGGTGTAGCACAGTCCCGAGGCTAGAACGACAAAAGATTTTTTGCATTTCCTCCCGAGTTATTACTGATTCTGTGCGGGGAAACTGCGCTTTCGTCGGTCGCCAGTGACAACGTATATACTAGTTGTTCCTCTCGCAGCTAAATAACCTGACACTGAACATTTGTGGCAAAGAAAACACCAGTACGTTACGCGACTCGACCCGTAATCGCTTCAAAAATCTCTTCACACTAATCCCTACCTATCTGTTTTGAATTAATTAACGCCTCTTTCACAATGGCACCTATTAATTAAGCGAACCATTTTTTTTCAAGAGCAAGTTAGATTGGCTGTGTCTCCCGAAGTGCACGCAAGATACGCCGTTCATTATTATCCCACGTGTTTGGTTTTTCTGCAAAGATTACATTTCCACAACACAGGCAACAGTCTCATCATGATTCTGCAGTTTGACGCACGTAAAACTAATTAAGATAAAATTACCTGTTGTTATCGCCGACAAAAAACTCTTACTTTTAGCATTAAGTAATCCTCTTCATTTGCTGTTGTAAGCTAGGTAAGGTTAGGTAAGAGGGTAGGTTCTGCGCCTTCGGATTTCAAGCTAAACAACGCAAGAATAACTCGATAATACGAACCTAATGCTGAAAACCCCAATACTCATGCGATATTTCGATGGATTTATAAAAGGGCATTTAAAGGAAAATCCTAAATTATCGACTCCCATCTTTTAGATCACACTCTTAAAGTGTAAAGCTGATTTATGATCAATCGAAAAGAAAATTTATGTGTCCCACATGACCTCGAGCGTGTGGTCAGTAATGTTTGTGATGGTCAGTTCAGTTACGGCAACACTAGTGTGATGTTTGGTTCAACTTTAAAAGTATTGTAGAATTTTCAATATCACCACCTAAGTAATAACATGTAAAGAATACACTACGGTAATATATGTAATAAAATGTCATGTACCTTCATTGAAGTTTGCTATAGGGTATTGTAGATAGGTAGGTATTATATTATTTTGCCATCACTCACAATATATTACGTGTCTAAGGCAATAATAACATTTACCAAATTGGGTAGCAAACATTTGACGCACGTGGCACGTGTTCATAGTTCAACCGTGCCGTGTAAGTCGGCAACACTGATTTAGTAATTTGTGACTGCAACGCCAGCATTGTTCAAATAATGGGGTGCTCACTGCTCATAAACTTAATTTCCGCTACCCCGTAAGGTTCGCGTAAACACTTGCCACGCATAAATATAGTTAACTATCTCCAAAATGTGGAATTTATTTAAAGCGTTACAACACAAGATACGTCTAAAAGATCACGTTTTCCGCAATCTAATAGGAGCATTGATTATATAGTTCGTAGTATATAATCAACGACAGAAGTAACTTTTGAAACTTCTGACTGACAATTATTACTGGTGGTAATTGTACGTTGTTTTTCGCTTGGTTGAGGACGGTGTCTCTAATTTCGGGTAGCATCACCCACGACTGGGTTAACAGGAGCTGCTTGGTTTATATTGCATGTTCTGCTCGAACCCGCAGATTACATAGCCCATAACGTTGAATTACCACTTTCCGCCACAAATTCAAACATAAAAGGTTAATAGACAGGAAATTTGGTCCAATTTATGCAGGACAACTATGCAGCGAACGTTACAAGTGGTTTCATCCTTTTGTGTTTAGATTTGATTGTGTGGGAACCGAGAAGATCGGGTAGAGGAAGCGCCCTATTTTTCTTTTTAGCAAAGTACGCAGCCCCATTACAACGAGAGTATAATTTTAAGTATTCCCCAAGATCGAAATAGCTATCAGGTTAATTTATGCTACGCCATTTACTTTCAGGAATAATTCTACTCGAGAGAACTATTAATTAAGTTACATAATTTGCTTTAATTTATTGTACAAGTAAACCTATATACTCCGCATTCAAACAACAAGGAATGGGAAACATGCCAATAGCTTGAACTTAGTTCGGAGACCTCATAATTCTCTAAAATAGGGGATAAGTTTACAGTAGAGCGCGTTCAAATCTTATCCATAACGTAATGAATTTCGCGACGTGCCGTACAGAGTACCGTACCGTTGTAAAATATAGGCAGCGGCGAAAGTTCGGAACGAGTTCTTCATCTAATAGAGTTATAATATAAAGAAATTAGCGAGGAAATTCCGCAACGGGTATGTTCGGTTCCCTGTAATTTTCGCTAATGAATAATCAGGCGCGTTAATTTTGCGACTACAATTAGTTGAGAATTACAATGCAAAGACAATTTAAATACATTTAGCTTAATTTCTCAAAGGCCTCGTCAAGGCTTATGAAATTCACGATATAGAAACTTTTTCCCGTATCCGCTTCTTCCATACCAATTAAAGTGCATATTAGTCCAGGCTATAAATATTTTTTTACAAAAAAAATTAGTTACCGGTTCAAACAGGGTTTTTCATGCCGGTGAAATGATTAGAAATTGGGGAAAAATAATTAAAACAGCTGAATTTTTCCGCGGATCAAATCACGGGGGTTGAAAGGAGTGGAAACTGGTATTTTGCAATTTGGGGCAAAACTATTAATTTTAGGCGAAAATGTTCAATGTAAAAGTTATGGAGAATAAAAAATCGACAATATTTGTATCTGCACTATTTGCACATAACCTCAAATTTTCCTAGAAAAATCGGAAAAATCTTTTATTTTCGATTTTTATTCTTATTTTTGCGAAAAAAAGTCGTAGGATTTGAAATTTGGAGTAAACATAGCTTGTTTTATGATAAAAAAAGGAGATAATTTTTTGGGCCCGTAAAGTTGAACCGTTTCCAAGATCTCACGATTTCTGAAAAAAAACCACCTCTTTTTCAAGGGGATGAAAAATCTATTTTTTTCATCGTACAGAGGTGCGCGGGGTAAGAAAATTTTCGGGAAGATTTATCGAGTTTAGCCCCTATGGACATTTCATGCCTTAACGAGAATACTAACATGAAATAATTTTTAATTTCTGATCGAATGACACCAATACCAAGACTGTAAGTGGTGTAGTTCCGGAGCCATTGTGACTCAGACATACAGGCAGAGCGTAAAAGTGCACTTTTTATTTTTGAAAGTGAAAGTGCACTAAAAACCAGCACTTAACATCAGTGCTCAAAAATTAGTTGTCTGTTTATATATTCAAAGGTTAATATACCTATTAAAAAAATGTTATCCCCAATAACGTAAAAAGGGGCTTTCATTTGATGGCAAGTTTTAATAATACCCAATTATGACGTGGGATTACATTTATAAATTATATTCATTCTATTTTATTAAATTCATAATTGGTTCCGCACTAAATTGACTGAATATAAATAAATGTTCCAATCAGCACCGTTGCTAAGAAATCCTAAGCTAATTTGAGTATTAGTACAACCATCACATTTAATTAAATTTCATAAGGAAATTATGCTTCTTTGGGAAAAGTTATACGAACAAATTTAGATTCGATAAATCTCGAACAAGTGCCATTCATTATAAATACATTTCTGAACTTCGAAAATAAGAACAAGAAAAGTTTTGTAGCTGGGCCGAGGTTGAAACACTCAAAAGCGTTAACGACTCATATTCAAACTGTATTTTAGCTTTCATAAAGTAAGGCTAAGTAACCCTAATTAGCTTTTAATGAAACCAAAGAGCCAACGCTACACAAACGCGGCTATATACAAATATCTTAAAATATGTAAATGCCCTCCATAAAAGCAAAGAATTCTTGGTTAATGGGGTGGAAGTTTAAAAACTGAACGGCACGGCCAACTAAAAGCGATTTTTAAAATATTTGTTTTTTTCCAGTGTGGAGTGCGGGTCTAGATTTACAAGGACCCTTGTTTGTGCAAGAGCCGCCGCATCAATATGAATTTAGCAATACATCAGGCGGACGTTTAGTATGTGCAGCACATGGAAGTCCTACTCCAGAAGTGGAATGGATTTTAGCCGATGGATCCCCGGTGCATCAGGTCAGTGCCGAATATAATCGTAAAATAATGTTACTATTTGCCACCAATTAGATCATATCTTATGCTTACCCAATACGAATCTTTATCTTTAACTGGACTTTTAAAATCGAAATAACGAACTCGTAGTCGTTCTAATTTTAGATGCCCTATTTTGGTAATATGCTGAACGGTCAATCCGTGTTTGAAATGTAAACCAGTTTTTCTAAGGAAAACAATATTGGCGTTTTTTACTTGTAAAGAAAGCGGTAGGGTGTGTAGTGAATTATATCCGTTGGCAGAGGAAAAATATAGAACTGTGCAACTTAAGCTGACAACGTACTTAGTAAAAGAAAGGTGCAATTTGGTCGTATAATGAGTGGAGCGTTACTAAAAAGGTACCCAAAGTGCGAACTCACTATCGAAATACTGAACTACAAGGTAAATTCTTTTCAATTAACATTAATTAATTGAATTAGAGATGTAATGTTTGCAAGTAGCCTTTATAAGCATTATATAAATGTTCGCGGTGGGGCGTGATTTAGGGAAACATATAATTAATCTAGACGTTGCAATGTTACCTTGCACTTTATTGCGATTAATTAAAATTAAGGCGTTCGGAATTATGCGTCCGAATGTCAATTATTGGTCATTGAATTTAAGTTGCCAAAATATGCGAACGGGGGGGGGGGGGGAGATTTTCTCTTGACCTTTATTTTATTATTTATTGATTCATAGTTCTTTTGATTAATTTTGAACTTAGGGCAGCTGTAAAGATATTAACTACAGTTGACAAGTGACGCCAGAAAAGACCTCGACATTTGACTGCAACTATTCCAGTGGACGTACGGCCTCGAGTACGACCATTTATCGCTCGCTCGTACGTAGACAGAAAATTAAGGGCTGTCATCGAAAAGAAATGAGCGAACCCTCACCCCCAACTCCATACCGCTCGGGGAACATAAATCAGAGCCAATAGCTGACCCAATTGCTCCCCACAGGATAATGACTATTCCTCGTTTAGAGATGTTGGGTTGCAAAAAGCGTCGGTAGAAGTAAAAGATCTAAATAGAAAAATTCAAAGAAACAGAAGAATCCCATGAATCTGAAAAAATCTGTATCGCATCCAAAGAAACTGAAGAATCTGTCGATTTGGGAGAAACACAAATTCTGGAGATAACGATTTGAAGGAAGCGGTACCATCTGAAGTATTAATGATTTTCAAAATAGGTTTTTTAACGTATAGTTTGAGAATATTGATATTGTCATATTGATACGATATCTTGCACAATGTGCGGTTAATCTAGGTAACTACCTACGTTAATGAGTAATCTGCAATATGTTTCAAAGCGCTTTGTAAAGAAAAGTTTGTTGTTGCAATAATCGATGCCATACTACACCCTACGAATAATCTTCAAAGGGATCTTATAATAAATAATACTCCCCTGAACCTTTAAGAAAAATTTCCGTAGAAAATTGTCTACAGTATAGTAAGAAACATAATGCATTTCTAAAAATAAGTCTTGTTATTTCTTGAACTACATTTCTAATATACATATATTACAAACCGATAAATCTTATTGCATCTGTGGCAATCTTTTCAAAATTTCTAACACAAGTTGAAATAACTTACAAAATATCGTACATATGTCAGATGTTTTCCGCTAGCTCGCTTGACAACGGGAAACTTTAAAATTGCAGATATTTTTCATATTACATTTCTGAAAATTAAGTCTCCATCAGAGTTTTAGATTGCATGGCTTCGCTATAAACGTTGTATAGAGGGAGAAGAAATATAACCGTTTGCTAATATCGTCAATAAATTTAAACTCTTGTGCAAGGAAGCATTAATCTTGTGGTCGTTTTTATACCTTGAAAATAATGTCGACATTCCTAGTAATACTTAAAGAAGGAAGATAAATTCCTGCATATAAGATTTATAATCTTGAATAATATCCAAGTACTAAGGATTCTATTAAAAATGCTGTCTTGCTGTATTAGAAATGCAATTTAGATTTCCCACATGCTTATCACCAATGCACTGTAATTTAATTAAAAATTTTCCGATTGTAGATTTGTACAACGGAAGTTACCTCAAAGGGATGAAATACAATGGAAATACTTTGTGCAGAAATTATATTCGAAGTACAGCATCAAATGCACTAGTTGTAAATCAACATTTGTAATACAGGTCAGTATTTTATAAGCGAAGTTTAAAATTATCGATCTCACGAGTAATTTTGGCTGCGTTAAACAATTAATTTTACTTAATTTCAATTGAGGGTGCGTCTTTATTTTGTAAAACAAATCACAAAGTAAATAATTAAGTTTTTATACTGGTAGCGCTATCTAACGGTAAAATTATAGCACCTCCGAAAACCATATCGAAATTATTTTCTTAAATTATCGTTCTCACAAGTAATCTAACTCAAAATAGACTAGAGCCTGCACATCTACACTATAGCAGAAAGGTTTTAGTGAAAATTTGAAGTCTCTAGCTATTGTAGTTGCTGAGATCTCACCCGGACAGCCGACTAGCCAGCCATAACGAATATAATAGCGTATTTTTTCAAAAATGCGCTAAAAATGCTTAATTTCCTTGGAAAAATGGAATGTAACATAAAGGGACACGTTTCATTAGCACCTTTCTTGGCGGTTTCTTCCAAGTGTATATGTGACTTGTGGTTACGTTTGGAATGGATAATGTAACGTGAGTTAAGGTGGCACTGCTTCTCAAAACACGCCGCATAGATAGGACATGAGATACTTCACAGCTGTTAGTTCGTGCGGGTATAAAATCTTCGTACGCTTCGTTATCTCCCAAAAAAAGTTGAGTGCCACCCAGATTCTTTAAATGATCATAGCTACCTTGTATGAGAGAAGGGGTTATGTGCGTTCTTCAGTTGGCAGTACCTATTAAGGCCCGATTAATACGAACATCTCTCATGGTGTTTTGCTGTAAAATCAATTAAACCGTTGAGGGTATTTAATAATAAACGGAAACAGACGTACCTACTTGATAACCGAATGAAATTATTTTTCAGAAATGGAAGCTCAAGAAAAAGTAGGTACAATAATTGTTAAAAAGTTTTAAAATGTGGCCAGTGCTGTTATGCAACGAATAGCATATTCAGTTTAAGAAAGCACATGTTAACGCACAAAGCTTCGAATGATTTTAAATCTAACGAGTGTGCTTACGAAAGATAAATCAAATTTGAAAACACATTTGTTCACACACAAGCCTTCTGTGGGTATTAAACACGATCAGTGCAATTACGCGACCAATAAAAGCACTCTTTTCAAAAGCACATATAACTTGCGAGGATATTAAGTGCGATCAGTGGAATTACGCGACCAGTAATAGCACTCATTTCAAAGCAAATTAATTATTAACACAAGATGTCCCAAATATATTATTGTGTGTGTTAATTTTGACCTTTTCTACGTAATTCGTTACAAAAATATTGTACCTAACTCTTTCTGAAAGAATGTTTCCGCATTCGCACTAAATGCAGCACTCCCTGCGGTCGTGCTGCAAACAAAGTGCTTATGCAGGAAAATTAACTTTCTGAACTTGTTAGGTAAATAACTGTTTCCCCCATCAAAAAACATAAATACACTTCGTCTGTAAAATAATTAGAGAAGCCAATATTTGAGTCTTGTTTTAACATTATAAGTCCTATGTTGCATTAAGTCACCACCCGATATAACAAATGGACACTATAATACGAAAATAAGATGTGCAATAAAAGGAACTAACATTCTCAATATACTGTCTGGTGGTACACTTTTTGTCATAGAGCATATGCTATTTATTGCAAGATGATTGTGTATCCGTTGCTCAACATGCACATACAAATGTTTAATTCAACTCCTCTCCCATAAGTCCTCTCGTTTATCGCTCATTTAGTGCAAACGTAGTTTTGAGATCAAAAATCGTATAAGTACAATCAGAGCTTCACAAAGATCAGTTCGCTACATTCTACAAAAATTCAAATTTTAATATGTTAAGAAGATATCTACCTACACCCAACTTCAAACTTATACCGAAAATCGGAAGTGAACATATAGTCGAGTTTGAAAAGGATACACTACACTGTAGGTGAACACATCTTTCCAATAATTTATTCTACATTCAAATCTCTCCACATTAAAAAACATATTTTTCCACACAAAGGGATGTTTTCAACGTAAAAAGCAACGTGCTTTAACAACTAAAAATCCCTATTAAAAGATTTTCAAAGGAAATAAAACGTTTGAGACGCTTAACTTTTAGAAAAAATTATATTACTAAATTACGAAATACCTATATACACTACGCAAACTTTGGATGTTAAAGCGAAATTGTGCTTTTTCTATTATGTAAAGCTTCAACATCGCAGTTTACAAGAAATAATTAATCCGGTCTAATATCAGATTAGATAGTTATATGTCCTGACTTTTTTCTTACTTTGTGACTCATTCCTTTTAGCACGAGAAGTTAACCTTTTCTAGAGCTAAGGAACGAATTTTCAAGATTAAGTGTCTTCGTTTTAGGTGTTTGCGGATACTCTTTTCAGTTAGACCCAGTTTGACCCAGTGACCCAACTTGACCCAGTTTGACCCAGTGACCCAGTTTGACCCAGCGACCCAATTTCACCCGGAGACCCAATTCGACCCAGTAACCTAGTTTGATCGAATAACGCAGTTAAGTCAGTGCCCTCGGTTCAAGTATGAAATAAATGAAATGCTGGTTTGTTGAAAATAATACTCGATTGCTTGACAACTGCCATTTCTGTGATGTTTGCTTTAATACTGCCGTAAAAAACTTTCCATGTCCCGAATTGTATTAGAATAATGTTATTTCTAAACAGTTCCCTCCTTCGTTGCTTTGCTTCAGGGCTTACCAGTTTGCTTACAGGTGTTCATTCACATTTAATTTTTAGCGCATTTTTGAAAAAAAGACGCTATTATATTCGTTATTGCTGGCAGGCCGGCTGTCCGCGTTAGATCTCCACAACTACAATAGCTAGAGACTTCAAATT